GGGGAAAGGACCCGGCCCGGCTCCCCGGGGGCAGCCAGCGTGCAGGCTCCCGCATCTCAATGCCCACGGACCGCTCTGGTTGCAGGTGCCTTCTGCATTCCCTTGTATGTGCCCTATGTGCTGACGGGGAGATGGATCTTCGGGAGAAGCCTCTGCAAACTCTGGCTGGTAGTTGATTACCTGCTCTGCACCTCTTCGGTCTTCAACATCGTACTGATTAGCTATGACAGATTCCTCTCGGTGACAAGAGCGGTGAGTCCTGTCATGGCAGCAGAGAGGGGAATACCTCTCCTCCTGCTTTATTCTCCAGATTCTCTGCAATAATCAAAAGCCCTTTGGATCCTCCAGAAATTATGAATCTTTCAGCCTGGTGATGGAAAGCAACAATTATCCACAAATACATAATTCAGCTGTGGTTTCAGATTAGTATTTCTGGCACACTTAAATCATTTAAGGTTCAGACCCCATTGTGCAGGTGTTCCCTTCCCAGATGACAGGATAGTAGCATACAAGTGAGTCAGCGAGGTAAGCAGACCTATTACGAACTTGCACGGGCTTCTTATCTCCAGGACAAACAAGCAGACTGCAGTCGGACTCCCAGCTTCTCCCTGGCTACGAAGGCAGTAGATTGCAGTACCAACTTCGGCAGGGCGCTGCCCTGAGGTCTCCATATATGCGGTGAGATGAAAACACTCAGCCTTTTGCAGGAGGTGATGAGCAACTCGCAGGCAGATCAGATCCATTGCTGTTTGCTTGTTCCCTGACTCCAACTACATCACGGGTTAGCTACAAGGCTCAGAGAGAGGCAGAGCTAGATGCCTGCCTAGCCCAGGAGTTTGGTGCATGACTTTCCCCGGGAGTTGCAGAGAGTAGCTGGGGACAGCTCAGGCAAGTGGTGGGGTGCAGCAGACTGCCGGACCCCAGCCAGGTCAGTACATTTCCACTAAGCAGAAGCCACGTCTGGTTTTGGAGCTGCAAGATGAGGGTGCTAAGTCTTCCCTGCAGGAGTGTGATTTATCTAGCAGTTGCTTCTGTTGTCTATGTCTATGAATTTGTTAGACTGCTGCGATATTGCCTAGCAACTTTACCAGAAATGCTAACAGTTCAGTTGTGAAGAGCCTCAACCAGTTGGGGTGTGTGGCCATACTTAAGAAAAGGTTTCCTCGTTGCAGGTTGCCTACAGAGCCCAGCAAGGCAACACCAAGCGAGCGGTGCTGAAGATGGTGATGGTATGGATACGCCCCTGCCATTATCAGCTGGGAGTATATATCAGGCCGGAGTATCATACCCACTGGGGAATGCTACGCTGAATTTTTCTACAACTGGTATTTTCTCATGACAGCCTCTACGCTGGAGTTTTTCACCCCTTTCATCAGTGTAATGTTTTTCAACCTGAGCATTTACCTGAACATACAGAAGCGTACCAAAATACGCCTGGATATTTTCCATGAAGTGCACAACCAGTCCTTCACTGAAGAGATGGAAATGAGCCCGGAAGCAAAGCTTTCTTTGAAATGCTGTAAGTGGGAGCAGAAGGAGCCAGCTGAAACCCTCGATCTCTCTAAGAGCAAAGCTCAAGCAGCAGCCTCCACTGCCAGCCCGGGTGCCAAAGACCTGCTGTCAACAAGCACTGAGAGCTCTGGAAAACCTAAGTGTTGCAACAAAAAGAGCTGTAAAAATTCAGCATCCACTCTGTCCTTAGAAAAACGGATGAAAATAGTGTCCCAGAGCATGACTCAACGCTTCAGGCTCTCTAGAGACAAGAAAGTGGCCAAATCACTGGCAATCATCGTGGGCATTTTTGGGATTTGCTGGGCACCATACACTCTCCTGATGATCATCCGCGCTGGCTGCCACGGCCACTGCATCTCTGACTACTGGTACGAGACTTCCTTTTGGCTGCTGTGGATCAACTCGGCTGTCAACCCTATCCTGTACCCGCTCTGCCACTACAGCTTCAGAAGAGCTTTTATTAAACTCCTCTGTCCCAAGAAGCTAAAGATTCAACCTCACGATCCCCTTCAGAACTGCTGGAAGTGAAGTGTGCGGATGAGAAGAGCCTTGTTTTAATACACCCGTCTTACAGAAAAGTACTGTAGCTTCCTTCCTTGGAAGAACGTGGGAACCCTGGCCTGGGGCATGTGAGGAATGCAGCAGCGAGACCACTATTCATTTATTCTAGTCCATCAACAACAAAACCACGCAGAATAAAAGGGTAGGGGTTTTCTGAGATTAACCACAGGCAGTGAAATCTGTGTCCTCCACTTGCAGGTGCCACAAAAGAGCTCTGCTGCCACCTAGTCAGCCAGAGCAGCACCAGCGTTTTGTTAAAATAAAAACTGAAAAAATAAAAGCTAACAAAAATAAATATCTAGCCTAAAACCACTGGACTAAACTACAGTTTACCTGCTTGCAGACCTGGTTTTTCCCATGAATAGGAGCGTTTTTTTGTTACATTTACGATATTACACGTATGTGATGATACAGAAATAAAAGAACGAACCTCTGAAGGAAAACACCTCATTTATCATTACTGCTACAGCAGCCACAGCCATAATGCAGATTCCTTCTGCATGTGGTGCAATAGATGTCCCTTCCTGTCCCCAAGGAGGGACAAATCTCTGCCCTAAGGAGTCGACAGCCAGATTCAGAGGCACCAAGCATCCTGAAGCACCCTGCTGGCATTCCCTGATCCTTGCTTCAAAACTGATCCAATTTCCTTTGTGTCCAGCCACACACTGACCAATGCTCCCACAGCACGTGGGAGCACTTCCCTCCTGCCCAGAGCTGTGCAGCAGGAGCGAGCCCAGTCCCTGCCCCTGCAGGACGCGGGAGTTCTGGCAGCCCCGAAGAAGAGGGCTGCTCTGCCTACGTGAAAGGTGCCAGCAGGGTATCGGCTTCTCCACAGTCTCCCACATGATGACCCAAAGACTTTTAAATCTCTTCTGCAGGATCTTAAAAATACTCTTTTGGCAACGTGCTAGTGAATGACAAGCTCTGGGAGAGTGAAGTTTGTGTTCCATTTTTTAAATTAGTTTCAGACCTCTTAATTTTAGCAAGTTCCAGAACTCTTGCATGCTTCCTTTTAAAATACATAATTTGAGTGGAGACCCGGGTCGAGCTGCTCCAGGCAACATAAGCATCAATTTATTTATTTATTTATTTAGCAGTCAACTAATTCCACAGGTAGAGCACCAGATTCAAGAGACGAGGGCTCTATCCTCAATCTTAATGTGAGATCTCGGGCATTTTCTCTCTGCTTCCCACCTCATGCTTCATCATACTTGCCTATTTAGTCTGTAACCTCTTTGGGAACAGAGGTAGTATGAGCGCAAAGCGAAACACTTCATCTCCCCATCTCTGTTGGCACTGCTCAGTGATACAGTAATACAAATATGTAATTAGTTGCCATGGCAAACGCTCATATCTAACAGTATTGTACAGGGAAGCTCAAGATCATAAGTCTGAAAACTACATTTACAAACAGACACCCAAATGCTGTAAAGTAGTACCCAAAAGCTTATGATGTTGTGATTGCCAATTACACTTGGCTGTTGTAAGCAAACTGCTTTTTGGCTGCTGCTAGGAATAAAAGAAAATGCTATCCAATTTTATTCCAGTGACATTTGTTGAGTAGATCAGTGTTGTCATCTGAAGTCAGGTTTTAAATGATGTCTTGTTTTGTGTATATGATATTTCAGTCTTGTGAAACGTTCAGTCAGATATATGGGTTAAAATATATCCTTTGAAGTATGTGTACTAGGAATTGACAGTACGTACTGTTGAGCCTGTTTGTACCTTTCCTTGTGTCTGCTACCTTCGGAAACCCCCAATAAAGTATTTTTATATGAAGCTTGCCAAGTATTTTATGGTAAACAGGGTGTTGCTGGAAATTATAAAATCCAACCGAAAGGAAAACATCTATGGATTTGTCTGAGGAGACAATTAAAGCATATACATTTTGCAAAAAAATAGCTACTGAAACAGCTGAGTTTCTCTTACCTCTGATTAACAGGTTCCTGACAGCACACTAGGGGTGTGGTGAGAGCACATCACTTAATTCTTTCCAACTCTGGTTCTTTTCCAGAGCATGTTACATGCAACTTAGAACTGAAAAGGTTACATTAACATGAACTCTTCCTGTGACTTATGAAATCCACTGGCCGGCCTAAAAATGACAAAGTCATAATGTGAACGAGGTCCCAGCTGTGGTTCTCTTCATTTGTTCATAAAGAGAGGTGGGACTGCTAGATCATTCAGTCTGATAAGAAGAAAAGCTACCGACAGCATTACACCTTAAGGAAAGGGTGGAGAAATTGTTATGCCTGTCTTTTTTTTTTTTTAACCTGGTGTTATATAGCGGTTACCTACTTCATGTTCTCACCCTCCAGAAAAAGGATTTTTCTTCTTTTGAAGATTATCCTGCATGATCTTCCCTGCATCAGTGGAAGGTCTTTGAAATATAGTAGAGGCCAAAAATGATACTAAATTGGTTGCAAAAGAGAAATAGGCCCCATTTCATGTGATCTTCCATCATTCAAAAGGCCAGCTTTCTCCAGGAAGATTTTATCAGCTTCTGAAGTCATGCCCACAACACTTGCTCCTGTACCCCTTCTTTTGCCTGCACATGACACAAAAGGCTGTTCCTTCCCTCTGATCCCTTGCCTTCTGCTCACCAGTCCTCAGCATGCTTGCAAATGAATGTTGATTGCATGCCATCTACCGCCACCAAAACAAACGAGTACGATGCTACAGGTAGCTACTGAAAAGTCAGAACAGATACCAGTTATTTAACAAAACTGAGTAAGATTACAGCATAACACACCTTGCTGGGTTCCCTCCCTTCTCCCATTTTGGGGGGGTTTGTTTTTTCACAGAAATACCCCCAAACATAACTGAAAGCCCAGAATCTTATTAGCACAGACACTTCTACCATTTTAACAGGAGAAGAAACTTAACAGAAAAGATAAAAGTTCATCTAAACAAACTCTCACAGCTTTCTGTGGTTAACAGCTGAATCTCTGACTAACTAGACCTGAGAACACCTTCCATACTGTGGTTTTGTTACTTCTGACTAAACGAATGAACAAAGAATTTATCAGTCTTTCCTATATGAGACATTTGCCTGAGCAGGGATTTGAGCAGCAGCAAAAAATTGGGCTTTCTGGTAGAATAGAATAGGAAGATGACAGAGGAGGTTGGTTTTGTTTTTCTTATTTCCTCCACATTCCAATACACGTCAAGAACGTTAAAACATTATTATGCAAGAAGACCAAAGCTAAGCAACAGGGAGCATATACTGAGTTATTTTAGCAGGCTCTTTTCCCCATTTCTGTAACTTTCCCCTTGTTAGAGCTTGAATTCATTGAATCAAATTAAAAAAAAAAAAAACCAAACACATTAACGCTCCTAGCTCCAGAACTGGTTCTCCTGCATATGATGAGCTGAGCAAGCACCCATTTAAAAAGGGAGTTGCAACTGTTTAAATTCTGAACGCTACTTTTTTCCAGATAGTCTGAGCCTCCGATCTCAAATTCTTAGCTTATGATTAAGTATTTATGTACTGAAGGCAAGGAGCAGGTTTTCCTTACATCCATTAGTAGTAACTCTGTTCAAAAGTGATGAGACCAGCTTTAAACTTCAAGGTGCCTTTGCAAGGCCATGGGCTAGGGATTCCTTTCTTTCACATGTTCACACAGTCAAAGAGCTAAAGCTGTAAACAAAATACCCAGTTTTAAGAGACTCATAAAATACATAATACTCACAGGGAGATGGTGGAGATTGGTTTTGCTTTCAGTGATCCGTAAGACCATGATATACCTGCACTGAAGTGCAGATGCCATCTATACAAGCACCATGCTTTCTCAGAGTCCCACTAGTGACATCAATATATTTCTGTTTAATTTAAAATCCTAATAGTACTTTTCTCTGAGCTTTCAGAATGCATTTTTGGTCTTAAAGTCCTTTCCCCACAGAGTAAAGAGATGGATACATTTCACTGTGAGCCTTTTGCACAGTATTTTTATGGTCTCTGACCTCCATATGGGCAGAATTACCTAAACTTAGCTAAAAGTAATTTTATTCATTGGTGGATTTTGCAGGGAAGATACTTATATTCCTTCATGAAAAAAGAGCTCTTGCCTTGCCAAATAAAAAAGAAAAATAACTAGTTATGCCTGGACGTGAGGTCACACCTGAGCCTGGTTTTCATACTGAAAATGTTATGAGCTGGTTTGAAGTTTCAGAGTAACTGATGACTAATTCAAATATGCTTAAAAGAGTATTTGAATTCTGCTGATTTTTAGTGTTCAGAATATAAATGTCTATATGCATTTGGAAGAGGCAGGGAACTAGGGAGCTTCTAGGCATAATCAAATATGAACTGTGAAAACACATTACCATCAGACAAGGTAGGGCTTCTTGTCAACTAGCTTAGCAAAACACCTATATATATTTTTTGCTCCCATACCTGCTAAAAAAAATTCCCCATTCCTACTGTCTAGACATAAACCGAGCAGGCAGGACCTGTTTTCAAAAACCATGAACGAAAACTTGCTGTAATTAGGAATATGCATCAAATATTTGTGGAAGCACATAGGCTTCCACACAGAAAAGAAACCCAGCTATTTCCAGAGACAAGTATCCAATTTATGCACAGAGTGTTAGTAAACAATGTTCAGGCAGCTGTAAATCATACCCAGGAGCTTTTTAAAGAAACAGGCTAAGTGACTTCCCGTAAGACCTGTGCAGAGGCAATGCCAGTTCCCTTCTCTTAATACAAACCTACACTCCATTAACTCGAGGATGTAAAGGCCACCATAACGAGGTCTGTAGTCCTTTCATAGAGCAGCCTCTGCATATCAATAAACTATCAAAGAACATTTTTCAGCACAGCTACTTTCTTTTTGGCTCTGTAATGCTTCCTCCCTAATCACCAATAATGAGAGATCTCTTTACACAGATAGAGGAACTTTGCTCCCACCGCCTCTCTTCAGCACCCTTCCTCAATTACCAGCCCTTATTTGTTCTCTCCAACCTGT